CTCACGGAAACAGTAACCCGGAAGTATAGGTATATATATAAATAAATCATTTGAATTAAATTAAAGGTATTTCTAAGTGAATAAGCGAAAAAAGAAAAACTTCATTGTCTTAAAAAAAAATGAAGATGGTTAATAAAAGTCGAAATGTTTCGAACGTTCACAGATTCATGTAACGTCTGGCGGCGAGTCTAGGGCATGGGCACCTCTTTTTGAGTGCTCAAAACATATCGACTTCCATTTACCATTTCGACCATCTTTATATTTTTAAAGCGAATATTTCATGTGCTCAAAAAGAAACACCCATTTTTAAAACGCAGGAGGCGTGAAGAAAACAAAAGTGATTTGAAACAGAAAACGCAAAGTTGGCTACTGAAAATGAAAAATAGAGGAAAAAAGTAGAACTAGAAAAACGAATGTAGCCGAGAGTGAAACCGAAAATCAAAAAACGAATGCCTTGTCAGTGCAGCCTTAGCTATATCGGGCAAGCCAGGCGCGTTCTAAAATTTAAATTAAAGAAACGCGATAGATATCCGTTATCCAGAATGCGATAATTCATCTAATGCCGCACATTCTTGGAATCTTGGGCATAAATCAGGAAACTATCTATTCCTTAAAAAATAAGATTTCGATACTTAAGTTTTTGTAACCAGATGTTTGCAGTCATAGAAGTTAAATATTAAATGTTGAGGGAAATATAAAAATAATAAAATACATTCATCTCCTTAATTTTGATGCAACCATTTCTGTTTAGAACCTTACGAATTATGTAACTATCATATCAGGTAAATATATGGAGTGACGGTGCGGTTTGTAAATAAAGAAACTAAATAAGGAAATTATAATAATGATATTTGGTGATAGATGTAGCTTATCGTAATTGAAGAACGTGTTGAGCGACATTTTATGGTGAATTTGCAAAAATGAGTTTCGGAATGTATGGAAACACCAGGATGTTATTTGCAAATGATCTTTATCCAAACAAAAAACCATATTTTAAATATTTGGAGGAACGAAGCTATTTTTTAACCAATGAATCATACCATATTCTTATAAATACATATTTCAATGTTTTTAAAATGCGACTTTTAATTCACTGTTGTTGTATGCCATTAAGGCAAGAGGGGTGCGTTTCTTCTTACTTAACATTTACTAATTTCTTCTATTGTAGAGAAACAGGAAATATAAATAACATAAAACCTTGTGTAATTGCAATATAAAAATAATTTTTCTTAATCAACTACATATTTTTTCTATTAATTATTAATAAATAAAAAAAAACCTTTCCAAGCTAACAAAAAACGATGAATGAAAAAGCTTCAATTTTTATTTCATTCTTTTTCATTGTCTCAACTTCTACTGAAAACACCATCCATTGTTAAGAAAGGTGACATGGTTGCTAGATTTAGAAAGAACTAGCTTCTTTTGGCAGTTCTGATATGTCCTCTTTTTACTCTTTTATTACTGTTTGTTCTTGGTGCAAACCGCGCATCCTCATTCGTTAGTGTTAGCATATTGTTCGAGCAGTAGGATTAAGTTAATTTTACAAATTTTCCTTTAGGTTTAAATTTCGACGTCTGTATATTGTTATCAAAATAAGAAGTGTTTTATATCAATTCTTTTTTCAAATGACAATTCTTACGTTTTGAAATGATAGGTTTTCAAATGACAATTTTCATAACGATTCTTCTTTTAAATACAAATATTAAATCCAGTCACAAATTCACGTATAGAAGAAATACTACTCAAAAGAGTCTCAAATCTCGATGATCACGTTGTGAGTCAAACGGCTTCAAAACTCACCAAAACAGTAACCCGGAAGTATAGGCAGTCGAGAACTTGCAACGCTTCCTAGTGTAAAAAGCGCCATCTATTGAAGGAAAATGGAAGCAATGATATCGAGAAACCATCATTTCACTTGTGTAAAGGACTGTTCTCGCTGCATTTGAAAAATTTGCGTGTGAAAGAGTACCTCATTAGAGAAATTTTTCGTGTGTGAATATATTTCACCAATCCAGTTATCATTCTCAATCACTTTTTTTGTAGACAATGAAAACTGTCCCTTAATGATTCGGAAACATGCCTGTGAAACTTGAATACAGTAAGAATAACCCTTAAAAGGTAAAAGCAGGCCTCACATTAAAAATAAAAGACTAAAACTTCAACTTTAATTTCATCAAAGTAAGTGTTCAGTTTTGTTTATTGTTTATTCGCCATTGGTTCTGGATTGTATTCTTGCTCGATGATTGTAGTGTTCGGAGGCAACACCAGTGAAATCGCCTATAATCTTATATGCTCTTTTTATTAATCAATTTAAAGTGGTGTTAATTTCTGCACTTGTCAATTAATTTAATTTCGTGAAATGTCAATTCCAGGATTTAGTAAGGGTAAACCTTTAATGTTGTATCACAAACACCTAAAATTAATTTTTTAACTTTCTTATCTAACTTTTGCTAATATACTAATATTATTGAATGAAACAAATGTTCAACATGCCCTTCATTATGTCATTTAAAAATTAAATTTAAATATAATTGATATTGTCGTATTTCCCTGTTTTTGATTTTTGTAATTGAACGTTTTTGCTTCACTCAAACACTTTCAATTTGCTCCATATATCTTCCCTTCTAATGGTGTGTGTCTTTGTAGGTTGCTATTTGTCCATATTCAACGTGATTAGAAGATAAGGAATTATATCCTGTTTTACTATTTTCCTACGGAACAAGTAAGTTACATTTCTTTGTAATTGACATTTGTTTTACGAAGTTCTAGTTTTGTTCTATCTTTGTTTCTAGCGAAGTTTACTATTTTAGATTATGATTTTTTTCATCAAAGATTCCCAAAATGATCTCCGTAAAATATTTCGCAGTTTTTCTTTCGAAAATGTAAATAAGTTTAAAATTTATGTAAAAAAAAAAGTCGTTATCTAATACTTACCACTCAAATATCTTAAAATCAAAATATTTTTTGTTGCAAAATAGTCGAGATCATTTGAATAATCATTTGCACGTTTGATAAGTACTAAAAAAATGAGTATTTTGTTTTCTTTACATTCAAAATGTTTTTTGTTTTGTTTTTTTTTTCACCTTTTCTTGTTCTGCAAATTAGATTTATATTCTATGTTCTACAAAATAATCTCATAATAAACCCCATTTCATAGATCTGAACTATCACATCCTCATTGAATTTGTTTTTTTAGGAAACCAAGCAGAAATGTGTAAATAATGTAATAGTGTCAAAATAATAGCAAATTTTTGATCTTCAATAATTGACTTGAATCACTTTTCTTTTTTTCCATGCATTTTGCTGTCTGCAATGGGAAATTGTTCTTAACTAGATTATTAAACCATTTACTATAATATCCTTAAAGCCTAAATTTCAGAATGATCTTGAAGTGTTCATAATGCTATGTCTTATAATTTACAATATGTAGTTAAAAGATAAAATTTATTTAATTAATTTCCTGCATTGTATGTCTCATTTTAAAAGTCTATTGTTACTTAAAAATTTTAAAAGCCACTTATTGTTAGTTTAGAAAAGTATGAAAAGAAGTCTTTTTCTTATTGAAGGTCTGTGACTGTATTTTTTTATGAGCTTGTCTTGGTAAAATGGTTAATTATGTTTCAGTTTTAAGTGATTCTGGTCCAATTGATGGAATATATTTTGAATAATACTTATTTTTCTAAAGAAGGGCAGGCACAAAGCATTTCTCTATAACTATCAGTTTGGTAATAATGTTTTATTTTTCAGTTTTCAGTAATTCTGGTCCAATTGATGGAATATATTTTGTGTATTTAATTGTGTAAAGTTTAGATCAGTTCTTGTTTTAGATATTGCAGTACTATTTTTAATTTTGTGGTAAATATTTATTTTATCAACATCAAAAATGTAGTGTTACGATATGAAAGTTATAAGCTGTCTCCATTTCATCTAAAACCCATTTTGTGGTTAGTCAGAATTGATACTGTGGGTATAAACACTGTCTTTAAACAAGATAAATATGAATTTTAAAAAAATGGAAATCTCACCTATGTTTTTTCAGATATTTAAAGTCATAGAAATTTTTTTTTAAGAATGAGTTTTAATCTTCTAAAAATTATTAGAGTAGTAGAAGAGGAAATAACCCTGAAGGGGAATAGAAATCAGCAATACCTTATTCCAACACTTTTTTAGTTGTTATGAAAAATAGGAAAAGCCCATTGTTGTGCTTTTTAATTTCATCTAAAAAAAACTGATCTGTAGTAAATAAATACTGTTTAATTGTTCAAAAAAGTTCTTTAATGAATATTTTTTGTAGTTTCTTACATCAAAAATATATTTCTTTTATACAAATTTTTATGTTTGAAATGTTTCATAAACTCAATCATTTTGCATTTAACTTGTTGATTATCTAGAGATTATTGAATTTCGATGTTTGTATTAGTGATTTCAGTATGAGTTTTAAAAATTTAATTGTCCTCTTTCAGAAATGCCAGCAAGTTCTGTAAAGCCATTGTACATAGCCAAGTCAATGAAAGAACTGGATGGTTTAACTGCCATTGACAAAACAGATTATAAGAAAAAATCCACATCTTTGTAAGTATAGTTATAAATAAATATTGATAGTACCTGATACATGAATTTTTTTTTTTTTAAGTAACAGTTTAATCTATTGAGGGGGGAAAAAAGGAGAAAAAGCTTGCGTACAATTTATAATAGATAATTCCAGCTCTTTTTTTTTTATCAATTTTAGTAAGTTAATCAATTAATTAAACTTCTCTTTATCTTTTTTAGCATAACAGTTCTTTAATCATGATGGCATTAAGATATATTTTAGATATAAAAACTCTTAATCCAAGATAATAAAATGGGAATTTAAAAAAATAAAATCTGTATTTTATAGTGATCTTTTAACAATTCATGTTTTTGCTCATTGTAATTTTGAATAATTCAAATATTTTTAAGGCTGCCGTTGGTTAAAATTAAAAGTAATCATTTCTATTAATAGCATGGCATGTTTGATGATATGTTATGAAATATAATGTAATTAATCAAAGACATTTTCTTATCAATATTTTAGTACATGCATTTAATAGTTTGGTATGTAATAATTGTTTGGTATGTAATAATAGTTTGGTATATAATAATGTTTGGTATGTAATAATTTCCAACTTATTAACTTTACCATCAATTTTGTGTATGATAAATAACATCTGCCCTGTTATAACAACTATTGAATTATTAATTATTATTGAATTTATTTCCTTTTAGATTGTGATCTTTTTTTTAAAAAAAATAAAATCTAAAAATAAGTTTCTGTTTTGTCCTCTTCTTCAATCATTTTTTGCTTGGTTTTATATGAAACAATATCTAAAATTTAGTAGTATATTTTTCATGGTGTTAATATTTATGTGATTTTTTTTTTTTTCTTTCTCTTATCATTAGATTGGTTTCATCAGCCAACACTATATTTCAAGGAGCTGAAAAGAGTTCTCTTGAGAGAGATGAAGAAAAAGCTTATACATTGTTTGTGAGATATGTAGAGTTAATTCTATTTTTACAAAGTCGAGATGACTTTAAGAAGGTTCGTTATTGTCACTGTTTTTTTTTTTTTTTTCTTTTTCAACCTCTTCACTTATGAAAAAGTACAGAAGATCATTTATGCCCTTACACTCACTCATTTTTCAACTAAATACTTTATNTTCACTTATAAAAAAGTGCAGAAGATCATTTATGCCCTTACACTCACTCAATTTTCAACTAAATGCTTTATCTTATCTTCCAGCTTTACTAAAGTTTAAAAAAATCAATAATCCAATAAATTTCTGCAAGGGACTTAGAAAAAAATAAATTTTTTTTTTTTTTTTTCATTTATAAACATCTGAAAATTCCAGCTACTTGCTTTCTCATTATATAAATTCTGGTTTATTTGACTTGTAATGTATTTATAATAAGTAATATTCAATCAACTGACTAACACTTACAAACATTTATTGATAATCTATAACTTTTATATTAAAATCTAATTTTAAGTATATTAATTGCACATTAGTGCTATCTAATAAAGCAATTTAAATATTTATTGAAGCCTTTATTTGTCAGAATTTTTTTAGATCAATTTAAAAAAAATTTGGTCGAGACATATTTACTTTCCCTTTCATAAATTTTTCCTGTTATGTAACATATTTATGTTTCTTTTCCCTTCAAAATTTCTTACAGACTCCAAGTTATAAATCACTTTGTTTACAAACAACTGCAGCTCTTGTCAAAGCTGAAAGTTTAAAAGCCAGCCTAACAAGCAGGTATTTATTGGAATTTGTTTTTGCTATTAACCTTTTCAAATTATTGATTTTTGTGTGACATTTATAAACTTATTTTTAGATATCTCAAGAATTCTGAAGAGATAGAAGCAAAGAATAATTCTAAGATAAAAGCAAAGAATGATAAAAATGAACTGCTATCTTCCTTGCATAATAATAAAATAACAGATACTTCTGCTGCAGGTGATATACCCAATAATTTAACAACTCCAATATCTGAAGGTACATTCTACTATATGCAATTAATATATTACATATGCATTAAAATATTACATATGCAGTAGAACCTTGAAGCATCATTGGGCAAATTTTGAAAGTTGATGCTTTGGAGCATTTTCCAAATATCTTTAAGTTTTGTTCTAAACATTACTTCTCAATCGATCTAGTTTGTAGTTTTCACATGATGTCATTATTCTATTGTTATTCAAAAATGTGTTTTTAAATACATAAATTAATTCTATAACTAAAAATAAACTAACTGTGCTTATTAAAAACTTATATAATATTCAATTCATAATTTTCAGAAACTATGACCATTTCTAATGTGTTGATCTAACTAATTAGCACCAATGAGATTTTTCATTTTTCAAAATTCATTTGAATTTTAATTTATATGAAAAATTTAATATAATAATTGCAGTTAATATATCATTATTAAATTTTTTCACTGCAAATAAATGTTCATTATTAAAGTATTTTTTAAACTTAAATTATTTGTTTATGTATGAAGGAAGAAGGAAAAACTCTTTGGCATTCAAAAAAGTTAAAACTTGTTCAAATATTTATGAATGACAACAATTTGTTTTCTACATCAATCCCATCAGAAATGTTATTTTTACCTACCTGTCCTCATGGTGCCAGTTGGCATATAAGGCCTCATAAAATATCTTTAAATTGCTTATAATTTTGCTTAGATTGTTTCCTAATTTATATTAAACATTTTGCTGTCATCAGAAAAAAGTCCTGGGTAAATATATCTCTTTGCTTGCTATATTACATTTCAGGAAAAAATTTATTAATGTGTTCTTGAAGAAACATATATTTTGAATGGATAAAGATAGGTAACTACAGAGAGACACATCTCATCTAAAATTGAGAGTCATAAATTAACTCTAAAATGTCTTTAAATCATTTCATAATTTGGATTAAGCATTTTACAGATCTTAAATGTAGCCTTTTATTATTACCAGGGTGGCCACCCACCTTGAAAACCTGGAATTATCAGGGAATTTTTTTATACTGGAAAAAACCTGGAAATATCAGGGAAATTTGGATAAAAACCTGGAAAAATCAGGGAATTTTAAAGAAAAGCTGGAAATTTTTCTTTGATAATTTTTTTAATTTCACTAATTTAAATTATTTGCTAATTTTCTTAATTTAAATTATTTCATCCATTATACCCACTTTTTTTTAACGGAAATGTATCGCCAAACAGTTGAAATATCATCAACTTAGCAATACTTTGCTTGCATCAAAATTTGCTCCATTACAGCTGTTAAACTAGAATGCCACATAAAATTCTCCTACTGTTGCTAAACGAATGCAGAAACCTTTGACCGCTATGGGACTGTGCAATTTAGGAAAGATTCTGGTGTAGGTGGAAAAAGATTTAGGATATTAGCTTCTATTTTTAAATACTGTCTTTGGGCTGAATCCATTTATGGCTCAAGTTTGTTCCGATGCTTTAGTGATAATTTTTTTTTCTATTTTGACAAAATGTTTTTGTATTTTTAACTTTATAAAATTCTCCAAAAATTAGTTAGTTATAGTTTAATAATAATAGATTTTATATTGCACTCTTTCTGAAAGTTTTTCTGCTCCCATTCAAAGAAATCTATGAATTAATTTTTCTCAGCAAACCAACCAGTCACATTTTTTACAATCGCTAATGTTTGTCGACAAATCTTTACAATTGTTGCATTAATGATTCTTCATTCAAAATTTTGTACCAAAACATTAAAAATTAAATGAAAAATCTTGCCAAATTGTCAAAATAAATTATTTTTTTCAAGATGATATGTTAAAAAAATAAAATTTTGAATAAAAAAATTTTATAATACCGACACTTTTCTTGTACACATCCTACACTTTATGAAAAAAAAGCAAAACAAAAACCTGGAAATTTTAAGATTTTTATCTGGAAAACCTGAAAAAATCAGGGAAATTTGAAATCTGATTTGAGTGGCCACCCTGATTACATAAGTGGCGTGGATAATGTTGGTCGCCTCCGTGACTTTGGTTCACAGGTGCCCACTGGGTAACGTGAAATGAGTAACAATTCCGGCATCTTCTAAGGCGAAGATTAATGTTCAGTGGCTGCCATTTGAAAATATATATATATATTACATAACATTTTAGAAAAGAAATCGCAGAGTTTTTAAGAAACAGGCACATTTCGAAAGATTCAGCAGGGATGCAGAGTATGTTTGATCCCATGAACAAGGTTCAGGGAAAATTCAGGCAACCCTGGGAGAATTTTTGATAAAATGCTACCAAAATTTTTAATTGTCGAAAAAAATGGGCCACTTTACAAAATTTTGTTTAGAAAAAAAATTATATAATATCAAGTCAATAAAAACCTGATATTTTTATGGTCAATTTGAAAACTGTGTTTATTGAATATACTATGTTAATTTGTTTTATTGAAAACTGCGTTTTGAAAAAATTCTAACATTTTCTCCTCCTCTGAGATTAAGATGAGTGATAACAGAGAGTAATTTCATTTTAATTAAGAACAATGACTATAAATTGTCTAATAACATCTGATAAGATTGTTTTGTATATTTAATGAAATATTTTGCTGACCTTAGAAAAAAGACATTTAAATTTATTTATATTTGTTATTTTTTTCTGATACATAAGGTTTTAGAAAATTTTCTAATGTTGTCTAAAAGAAATATACACATTTTGAGAGTAATGAGAGATATCAATTGGGGAAGGAATTACAGTTTAATTTAAGAGTTAAGAATTTTAATTTTAAAAAAATATATATTATTATAGATACTCTGTTTTATGACTATAAAATCTTAGATTATTTTCAACACTTAAGTTATGGCGTCTTAAGCTCTGTTGAAAATGATCAGTTTGTTGAAATGAATCAAGGTTCTACTGTGTGTTTATTTTTACAGAATGTCTTTAAATTTGCATGGAAAAAAATGAGTAATAAAAACTATTTTTATGTCTCCTTTGTATGCTTTTTACACAGTTTTTAAAGCTTGATATGACTCATGATAGTCTAGAATAGCAACTTATTGTGTCAAATGAAAAAAATTTTTTTGACATAGTCGTAAGTTTTTAGAGTAATTCATATTCATTCTTCTCAGATCCTGTGGAAACCACAATATCAAGTTCAAAGCTTTATTCCCTTCTTTCTAAACATTCTAATATTGTAATAATGGATATTCGTTCAGCTATAGATTTTGAGCAATCTCACCTGAAACACAACTGTTGTATTAACATACCCCAAGAAATCTTAACTCCTGGGTAAGTCTGATTATTTTCATTTTGTTGTACATAGAAAAAATATTCAGTATAATAATAGTTTGGAAACTGAAGGCATATAATTATCGTTGTCTAAATTATTCATTATAACAAAAATGTTTTTGAAATACGGGTTTTCTTGATTCTTAAATTAGACATAACAGTTTTCAAAAATTTATAACAGAAAGTAGTTATAATCAGACTTATATAAAATGGAAGACTTTCTGCGAACATATCTCAATTTAAAAAAACCTCTTTACCAGCAATATATTGACAACTAGTTTAAATCCTTTCGTCACCACCTAATTTTGATAAAACTTGTCCAAAAATCATTTTTAAAAGTATTTTAATTTTTATAAAAAAAATATATATTAGTTATGCATTTCAGCATATATTTCTTAACATTTAACAGTTTTATGAAAATATAAGTATAAAACGTGTTATTGATTTACTTTGTTTCTCCTTACGCTTGACAGTCCCTGTATGTTCTTTCTTTGTTCTTATAAATGTTCTCAGAAACATTCCAATGCAAACATTTAATAAATATTTTTATTAGAATCATTTTTTACTTCTTCTACACATAAAAACAAAAAAATTTCCTTACGCTACTCATTTTACAATATATAATAGTATAAAAATAAAGAGAATTAAAACTATATTGTTCCAATGTGTTTTATGTCAGAAAAATACTATAATAAAATTAATACTTGATGTTACCATTTACGAAAAAGAGTGATATATATGTATGTATTTATATTTATCATAAAATATCTTAAGCTTCTTTTTTTTTCGTACTAAAAATTTTTTCACAAATGGCATTCACATGTTCATGTCAATTATGTGTATTCAGTTATGGTTAGCGAATGGTTTTTTTCTTCTAGGCTTTCAGGTTTTAGTTCGAAAATTTATTAGCAGATGGTGTAGGAAGTAAATGTGTAAATCAAAGTGTATAAATTAACATTGTAATTTTTTGAAATGCCTACCATAAGTGATAATCATGTCTTAATGCGACTTGATTCAGGGTTCCCACGGTCCTTAAAAGTCCTTAAAAACTGCTTAACTTTTATTTTGGAAAATAAGGGCCCTTAAAAGTACTTAGTTTTGGTACAAGGTTCTTAAAAGTGCTTAATTTTCAGCATCACTATAGTTGATATAAACAATTTTTCAGTTCAATGTTTTAAAACAAAAAGTCGTTCTTTTATCTCCTAGAATTGGATCATGCACGGTGAGTAAAGCATTTTAGAGAGACAAGAAGGGATGTGTGTGAGATGGCTACAGGCAAGGAGAAGAAAGCGTGTCTTTTTATTAATATATTGGTTCTTTCATTAATATATTCTGCCCTTTGCCTCGAATGATACTCTATGAGCCCTCTGGCAGAATTTTTTTGGGCTTTCTGCTACAATCTTCTCTAGCACTANTTACTTATACAGTACTACAGCCTGCTGTAAGCTTTGACCTGCTGAACAATATTATTCCAAACATTCCTATTTTTGGATTTTAACTTCTAATTTTTCACCTTCAAGGTGGTGGTTAGATCTTTAATGGTATCGTCCAACCACCTTTTTTTCTACTCCTGTATTGACAATTTAGGAAAAACAGAATCCTGTTTTTGGTTTCATTAAAAGTCATAAGCGAATATTTGTCCATGCTGTTGTACTGAAATCATAAAAATAATACAATGATGATGAAATTTAAAATTATAATAAAAAAATCTGCACTATTTTTAAATGATTCATATTTTGAAAGTAAGGAAACCGTGAAGCTTTTTTTAAGATAAAACATTTTGTGAAAGGTCGCTTTTTATGCCAAATACTTTGGGGAGGTAAGATTTTTTAAAGATGTTTTCAAGAAATTTTGTTAATTAACCTGAATTTTTTCTGAAATAAGTCCTGATAAATAACCATTAAACATCTGCAAATGATCTTTCAGTCACCTGTTTGTTTTGTTGTAGATTTCTCCTCTCTATATTAAAATATTTTTGTTAAAACCCTTAAATTTTTGTTGTTAACAAATTGTTTTTGTGTTATTTGCTAAATATATTTTGCTTGTTCTCGTATAGAAGTACCATAATTTATACAACTTTCAATTGGTCAAATTTGTGTTATCTCAATTTTTCTTCTAATCAAGATGATTGTTTGACAGAATAACTGCTTTAACACTAGAAAAGCTTCTGCCTGATGTCTCACGTTCAGGTTGGCTTATGAGAGGCGATGTGGATTATGTGATATTGATTGACTGGGATTCTAAAGACAATTCTAGGCCTAGTTTATACGTTAATACTCTGAAGGAAGCTATGTGTAAGGTTAGATATTTCTTTTTACAATTTCAAAGATTATAAAAGTTTTCTTTTTTTTCTTAATCTGAAACAAGTTTTTCATTAAAAGAAAAGTAATAGGTTTACTTTCTTTTAGGTAAAATATTCTATCTACACTTTTCATCTGTAGAATAGTCTGTTGACTTAAAAACTGTTCAAGAAATGAGATATAAAGACTGTGTGCAGACTACAAAAAATATAGGCTGAAAAAAAATTTTTTTTAACATTTAAATGATTCGGTGAAACTCTTTCCCTGAATGCAAGCGAAACAGCAGCCAGTATAGCACAGTGGTTCAGAAATGCTTCAAACACTATCACTATGAGCTGTCTTTGTGAAAGACTAGGGTTTTGTTCCTAGTGGAGGTCTGAAGTTCACCCAGCTAGCCTGGGAAGTATTGGCATTTAGAATGCAGTGTTGACCATAGTATCAACATCATGCCATTTGTTTCAAAATTGTAGGACTTTTACCTCCAAACCCTTTTGCTATTAAGAATTTTTTTTTAGCTGAGTACAAGGGGGAAAAAACCAGTTTGAGATGTTCCATCTATTAAATTTATTTATAAACAAGTTTTAACTTATAAAAATGTTATTAAAGAAGGGATTAATTGTAATTTTTCATTTTGTTTTCAAGAAAGTTGCATGCAAATTTGCTTTTTTCAGAACAATTTCATTGTCTTCCAATAAAAGTATATTCAATACAAAAGCAGAAAAATAGTTGTACCAGTATCATTTCTAAATTTTACCAATCGGTGGTAGCTCCGTGCAATAAGACTGCATGTTTTAAATCTTAATATTTTCTTACTGCTAGGTTCACATAACTAATCATAGCTTGTGCTTTGTGGTCCATCTAAATAGCCGTGAACAACTTTTTTTCATATATCTCATTTTAATATTGTTTTCTGGTAGGTATATTTACAAATATCCAGAATTTCCGCTGATAAGAATGCAGTTCGTAGTACAATCTTATTGCCATGGTGTTTTTTATTTTTTTTAAAAAAAAAACTGTCTTAGGCAATTCAGAATGCTTCAAGTTATATTACCCTTTTCTATCATATTTAACTGATTCAGCATCATGAATGGATATATGAGGTTCAAACTTTTTTGCCTTTTTCTAGAGGCTCCCAATTTCTGTAATAGCACTGCTCCCTTTCTGGAATCAAACTGAAAATTACCAAAATTTTAAGTCTTAGCATTTTATAAAAATTAACTTTTTCATAATTTCTAGGCACAAACTCCAAGATAACACAATAGTTAAAGATATGATTGAAGACTTTTAATATTGGTGTTATCATTTATATTTTATATATAAGAAACATTTAAACTTTCTAATGTATGTAAAAATAGCACTTAATTAATGGTTGCATTTTTTGGTGTTGAAATAATCATAGTATAACAAGTAAAACTTTATATTTTATTTTATCTGCATCTTATTCTTTTGATTCTTATATTTAGCTTGTATAGCTAGTAAAGCTTTATGCATTATTTTATCTGCATCATATTCTTTTGATTTTTAAATTTATGCAGTATAACAAGTAAACTTTATATGTTATTTTGTCTGCATTTTATTCTTTAGATTATTTTATTTATCCAGTATAACAAGTAACACTTTATGTGTTATTTTATCTGCATCTTATTCTTTTGATCCTAATATTTAAACAGTGGGACCAGAAACGTACTTTGAAAAAGCTTCCTCTCATTCTTGATGGTGGATACAAAGATTGGATGTTAAAGTATCCAATGTGGACCACACAAGCAATAAATATTTTTAATTCAGATGCAAAAACGTCACCAGTTGTTGCTGATTTATCAGGTGTAGTATTCTTTTTATCTTAAATTAGATATTTACCTTATTGCAGTATATGTTATTCTTAAAATTTTGAAATACTTAGCAGTTGTTTGTAAATCATGACAACCATTACTTTATTATGCAGAACGTTTAGTAATGTTTAACTGTTTTTCTTCAATAATTTTAAAACTAATTTTATTTGAACCTGAGAAAAGCAAATTGTCCAATTAAACCAGTTTTAAAACAATATGTAAAATATATATATCTGTGATTTTATTATTTACATTACTTTAAATACTTTATTTATGCTATGCTAATAATTATATATATATAATTTATATACATTTCAAGGGGGAAAACAAGTTAATAAGCTAAACTTGTGTGCCAAGCCTACAGCTCGAAACATCTATTCACTTGACCAAAACTTGAAACAAAGTGATACAATAATTTACTTTTTTTTATAAAATTGAAATTAGTACCTTTAAATAAAACAGAAACAAATATTTAAGTTTTATTAATGTACAAACAATAACTAAGTTTTAAAAGTAGTATAATGGTAGTATCCTTAGAAGATTTTTCATAATCAATGCATTGTTCTATTAGCAGAATAAGTTTCTTGTCAATCGTGCTCAATTTTTTACCTTTAATTATTAGGTCAAGGTGAAACTTTGTAAAGCATTTGCTGCATTTCATCTCCTTACTTAATAATCCTTGTAACCTTACCTTTCGAAAATTAATAATATTTGTAGTATATAAATAATAAAAAATTATGACTGACAAAGTACTTTGAAAAAGTTAAATTTTACTATGTCTTTTAAAACTAAGTCTTGCCGTGTTGCCATATGTTTTTATTTAAAACTCTGATAGAATAGAATATTATCAAGAATACATCAATTTGAAAGTGTTTATGCATTCCACTTAATTAGTCCTTGCAAGCTTGTTTCGTAACAGTTTTATGTTTCAGTTTTTTTACAATTATGTATTCTACTGTATCATTAATCATTTTATAGCTAACTTTCCTTTATATTTGCATGAAATTTTTCACAGTGATGTAAATTTAAATTGGGTAAAAATGCAGAAATAATTCTAAATAGACTTTTCTTGGTAAAATGTTTATAAAAAAATATTCATGTAGCTTGCTTAATTATTCCTTCCAGTAAATTATTTTCTGCTAACTTTTAGGTGTTGAGTACCCAAATTTAGATGAAAATACTGCTGAAAAAAAGAATGAAAACCTAAATGGGACTAGTCCACTTTTTAAAAAATCTACTGCTCCATTTCCTGTGTTGAACAACGACATTTCCCCATCTTCAGATTCAGTGGACTCTAGAAAAACTAAATCCGCTCCTTCATTTGACAGAAAAGCAAAACCTGCTGTTAACAAACCTACCTCAGCAACTTCTCAACAAGCAACCAAAAATGTTTCTGGTAAAATCTCATCTTCCGATATTAATGGCTCATTCCCTGTTCATTCAGAAAAGTTACCCAATAAGAACCAGGAAAGTGCAATTCACCTCTCTTTAAAGAAGGAAGAGATGTTGGCCCAAGATAGTCTCCATATTGCCAAAGAGCGTCTCATAAAGGAACAGGAATTTGAGAAATTATGCCTTCGCAAAGAGAAAGAGGCTGAAGAAAGCAAAAGGATCGAAATACAGAAGCAAGAAAATATTTTGGCAGACAAGTTGAAACAGTTGGATATAACTATGACAGAAAAAGATGCTGAATGTAAAAGAGTTAGAGAAGAAAATTTAAAAATGAAAAAGGTAAGTTGATTTTGATGTAGTATTCCAAAAACTATTATGTGTTTTTTTTTTAACGACGAAATAGTGTTAAAGAAATTTAAGATATTTATGGTTATATAATTTTTAGAGGCTTGAAGAATATATAGATAAAGAAGCTCAAGCCAAGAAAGAAAGAGAAATAATGAATGCAGAGCAAGAAAAGAAAGATTTACTAGAGCAAGTTAAAAGGTTGAGTTTTTTTTTTTTCTCTTTCTATAACATGAGTTGTTTATTTTTAATCTGTGCAGTATTAAAATTCTGCAACTTGCTATGTTTTTCCCATTCCTGCCACATTAACTTAAATTTTTGTTATTTAGGCAAATGAACTTATTGCATAAAGTGTTGTTTAAATCTTTTTAAGTTTTAACTGAATTTTAATAATCAAGCTTAATTTTGAAACCCAACTATTATTAATTATTATTTAATTTCTTAAAAATGTGTTATCTATTGAATAGAAGTTCCTTAATTTTTTTTGGTTTAATTTAGAGTATTTGTAACCAAGTGAGTTTGTAAATTTAATAATTTAAAATCAATAGCATACTGAACATGACTTTGTCTGCCTAAATTATAAAGATGTATAATTTCTTTCCAGTATAGCAAAAATCGAAAGCATAAAAAATTATCCTTTATAAGCAGACTTAATGTCCTAAATTAGAGTGAAGGTTTTCAAAAATTTATAAAAGGTAAAAATAAAAAAAAGTTTTTGTAGTTAACTCAATGTGTTTCCGAATTTAGTTCAAAAAATATCTGGCAGATAGTGTCGCAAACGCTTTTTACTGTTTTTTTGTTTTGCTTTTTTAATTTATTTTATCTAAGTATGCATTTTATATACATCTGCGAATTTCAATCTGTGATTGTGACTGGTGGTGTAAAAATTTTCATTTCAAAAATATTGTAAAGTGTTAGTTTTTTTTATTCATAAAGAGAACGAAAAATCATGAATTCAATTGTATTTCTTTGATTCACTAATTCCCTACTTGCAAAACCATCTGTTGAAAGATTTTTCAAATAAAAAGTGGAACATTATACGTGGAACGTGGCATGGGCTAATTTAAGCTTATTTTACTCAATGATAATCGATTTTAGAAATGACTTCTAATAATATTGCTAAGAAACAAAAGGCCAATGCAATTAATAAAATAGCAGAAGTAATTAAATTATGTAATAATAAAGTAGTTAAAGGATTGGATACAAAATTATTAAACTGAATATTAATCTTTACCCATGTCATTTTAACAACTACCTTTGCTACTAAAGTGGTTTACTCTTACATGTTACCAGGGGTCTATCTAGGTTTTTCTGAGAGGTACCTATTTTGTAAAATTTTAAGACATAATTTGTGAAAAATTATATTAAAAGATCAACACAAAATATGGATTTTTGTTTCTTAAGGGATACAAAAATAACATTTTAAGAAAAAGTATTTTGTGTTTTCCTAAAGTTGAATTTGTGAAGGTTGCCGCTAAACGATAGTTATTTCGGCCTGGACAGACCCCTGGTTACAATTTACTTAACTCTCTCATTCAGTCCTCAAAAGTGAAAACTTATGATGGACAATTGATCTTTTTAATTTATCTTTTTGTAATGATAACGTGGGGATTAAGGCAATTTTGTTTATTAAATCAGAGCTCTCGTAAATCTGATTCTGTCAAAAATAAAGGCTATAATGCTTAAAAATGAACTGGAAAATATTTATTTTGCTTATCTTTCATTGTATTCATTTTTATTTGCCCTTTATTGGAAAGAAAATTAGTCTAATGATCTGTGTTTTGACATGGTAGTAAAATTTTGATTTAAAAAAATTACATCGTTGTAAATAAAAAAATGCGTTGTGGCACGTAAGGAAACTAATAACAATTATACTCACAATAAGGTATCAGATTTTACTGTAAAATATATTGCTTAAAAGATAATAGTGTATGCGTTGTAGCTTCAGTTTAAATTCAAAAAATACAACTCTATCACTTTTGATTTAATTTTATTGAATTGATTATATATTTAAATTGATTATTTATTAACTTTATCAGGGAATTTTTGATCTCCCAATATTATTTTTTTTTGTGCTATTGTTTAAAAAAAAATGATTTATTTCATCTAGGTTAAGAGAAGAAAGGAAAATGAAAGAAGCAAAGAAAAAGCTTGAACCAAAACCTGATGCTGTACCAAGAAACACTGTTTCTGCAAATAGTGGTTTAAAAAGACCCCTTAATAATCATGATCAAAATGAAGGTTAGTTTGATTTATGTTATTATATATTTATGTATTTTTTATATAATAATAGTTCTGTAATAATTCTGCTGTCTTGAGAAAGAATGTAGTATCTACACTATCCTTGCTTATAGATTAATCTTTAGTTATTCTCCAATTCGAATGCCGTTGTTAACAAAAATCAATTCAAAGGTTGTTGTTTTTTTTTGTCCCCAATTTCATAAATATGCTAGTAATTCAGATAAATGCTGTAAAAGTAAAACCATTCCTTGTACTACATATATATAGTCATTCTTTTTATGTGTGTAACAATAAACGTTTCGATTGTTGGTTGCTTTAGTTTTGTAAAGAAATTTAAAAATTGCAATATACAAACTAAAACACCCTGCAAAAAAAGAGAACAATATGGGGAAAGAATTTAAAGAAGGCTTTGGCCCACTGAGTCTATTGAGTCTGTAAAAAAAAAAAGAATTTATTGAGTCAGTAAAGATAAAGAATATGCATTATTCCAGCCATCTTTTCATTGTTGCTAGTTCGATTGTCATGGCTTTCATTTCTGCTAAAAGAAAATATGTTAAGCTATCTGTGCAGGAACTATTTTTCAGAGTGGGAAAGGTATCTGGATAAAGCCATCAATTTTAAGCATATAACTTTGAATCAATGTAATAAATGAAGGGCTCAAAATTACCTCTATTAGCATGTGAAAATATGTCTGTATAACAGTTCACTTAAAATAGTAATTTAGTAAAATAATAAACAAGACTGTAAACCTACAAATATTTTATGTATTTAGTAGACAAAAAAAAACAATAATAAGTTAATCTGTTCAGTGTTTTATTAAGGCATGTAAATAAAAAAAATCACACAACAGACTTCTTCTAAGGCACTACAACCAGTTATTGGCCAAGGTCGTCTCAGTGAGTTTACCCCATCTAGATCTATTCAATGCTATATTTTTCCATCTATTAATTCCCGAGTCCTTTAACCACTTCTCTATTCTATCTAACCATCTTGTTCTAGGTCTTCCTCTTTTTCTTTTCTCCTCGGGCATTTGGAAGGTTATTTTGTAAATAGGATTTTCATTGCTATATTGAAATACGTGTCCTAGCCATCTTATTTGAGAAACATTGATCAGTTTTACTGTTAGGTTCTTTGTATTTTGATTGTAATTCATAGTTGTAATGAATTCTTGAGGTTCCATTTTCCCTTACTGCACCAAAAAATTTTCTTAACATTTTTCTCTCAGGAGTCATCAGTTTTTCTTCATCGGCTTTGTTAATAGCCCAACATTCAGTGCCATATAAAACTATTGGTCTCGCTAGTGTCTTGTACTACAGTATTTTTGTTTCACAACTTATATATTTAGATTTGAACTGGTTTCTCAATCCATGATAACATCTGATAGCCATGTTGATTCTATTTTTTATTTCAGTTTTTATGTCATTGTTATTATTTACTTTTATGCCTAAATATTTAAACTCATATTACTTGTTCAAACTCATATTCGTTAATTCTCAGCAGTTGTAGATTTGTGATTCTGTTTGTTATTGTTATTAAATTAGTTTTTTCATTCTTAACTGACAATCCTATGTTTTTTGCTCATGCCTCGAGTGCACAGAGAGCCTCTACTGTATCTGCCCTAGTTCTTCCCATGATATCGATATCGTCTGCAAATATAGTTGTACAATTAAACAAAAATTGTGTTCTGCATTGCATACCAGAGTCTCTAATTGCCTCCTTTAGTGCTAAATTAAACAGATATGTCAGAGGGTCTCCCTGTTACTTTCCTTTTTCAGTGTAGAAAGCATCAAATACTTCTGATCCCAACTTTGCATTTTACTCTATTAAGTCTTAGGAGGTCAACCAGTTTTTTAGGGAATCCCAACTCTGACATTGCCTGATACCAGTGTTGGGTTTTTGCCGTCAAAAACTGGTTTTTGACATGACAGTGGTAAAATCCATCAAAAATCTACTGTTTTCTTTAATTTATGGCATATAGCGGACAATATATTATCTTCACATAATTGCCTTTATAAATGAATGTTGTAAATGATTGCTATTGATTTTGCAACTATATACATGTATTCCTATAGAAGGATATACATTCATACAGAAATATTGAAACTCTAAAAGGATTTCCCAGGCTTTTTCATGTCTCATTTCTATGTAAAATATTGAAAGCAAAATTGATAAGAAAAGTTTATTTTATGAGGCTTTCCTTTTATGTGTACATGTGTTTCTCATAGCAAGATTTTAAGAATGAAAGTAATCAATCTTGACATTCTTCAGTAATGTAATACGCCAAACAAAATGATGCTTGGAAATGTTGAAAAAATTTTTTAGTATCCTAATATTTTACGTCAAATAGTATGTTTTGATGTATTCATGTTGGGAAAATGCAAGAATCTGTTCTAAATATTTTTTAACAACATTTTTTCTAATTTTATTGCCCAGAAATGAATTAATTTTAAATTATAAGCAGTTAAACTCAAATAAAAATACAGTTTTATCAAAACTATAGTTTTTTGACAAAGGTTTTTTTGACATGACGGTAAAAACCGGTTAAAACCGTCATGTGTCAAAAACTTGCCAACCCTGCCTGATACAATTTCACTCTATTGATGCTATCATAAGCTGTTCAAAAGTCTGTAAAGAGGTAAAAGGTATCTATGTTGTGTTCTTTGATCGGTTGCTCATCTGCATTTTTTGAAATCCACACTATTTCCCAATTACTCTGCTAGTATAAGTAACAAGTCGTTCTGCCGGGATGTTTGTCAATGTCTTCTATGATGTCAAAGAGTTCAAGAGAGTAATTCCTCTATAGTCCTTACAGTCTAGCCTGTCTCCTATCTTGTGTATTAAACAGATGGAACAATCTTCCCATTCAATTGGCATTTTTTCCATTCTCTATGCACGTACTATAACATATCAGACTGATTGGTTAAAATCAAGAATAAGAACATGTTTGACAAAATCGNAATTGATAAGAAAAGTTTATTTTATGAGGCTTTCTTTTTATGTGTACATGTGTTTCTCATAGCAAGATTTTAAGAATGAAAGTAATCAATCTTGACATTCTTCAGTAATGTAATACGCGAAACAAAATGATGCTTGGAAATGTTGAAAAATTTTTTTAGTATCCTAATATTTTACGTCAAATAGTATGTTTTGATATATTCATGTTGGGAAAATGCAAGAATCTGATCTAAATATTTTTTAACAACTTTTTTTCTAATTTTATTGCCCAAAAATGAATTAATTTTAAATTATAAGCAGTTAAACTCAAATAAAAATACAGTTTTACCAAAACTATAGGTTTTTGACAAAGGTTTTTTTGACATGACGGTTAAAACCGTCATGTGTCAAAAACTTGCCAACCCTGCCTGATACTATTTCACTCTATTGATGCTATCATAAGCTGTTCAAAAGTCTGTAAAGAGGTAAAAGGTATCTATGTTGTATTCTTTGATCTGTTGCTCATCTGCATTTTTGAAATCCACACTATTTCCCAATTACTCTGCTAGTATAAGTAACAAGTCGTTCTGCCGGGATGTTTGTCAATGTCTTCTATGATGTCAAAGAGTTCAAGAGAGTAATTCCTCTATAGTCCTTACAGTCTAGCCTGTCTCCTATCTTGTGTATTAAACAGATAGAACAATCTTCCCATTCAATTGGCATTTTTTCCATTCTCTATGCACGTACTATAACATATCAGACAGATTGGTTAAAATCAAGAATAAGAACATGTTTGACAAAATCGAGATTAAGAACACTTTTGCATGTTATGTAGGAAGGATCCTTAACTATATACTGTTTTCCAAAAGTTACAATTTGCCTCAACTTTTACATTAGATCCACAATGAATAACTAATATAGAATCATTAAAGATTGAACATTATTTTTTCTTAAAAGTAGACTTAGTTGCATTTCTTTGACTGTATTCAGCAAGGATCTGTAAAACCTAAAATTTTGTGACCCACGTTAAAATTAATTATCTCTCTTTTGCTAATGAATATTTATAAATAAAATTATCCGATGCTTCCTGCTAATGGGTTTTTCCAATTTTAATGATGTGACTCTCAACTGTAGCTTTTACAGCTATTCTTTCGATATTTTAAAAATATTTTTTTATTGATGACAAAACTAAAGTTTTTAATTTATGTCATTTTAATCCTTTCAATAATTTATATTGACTTCTTTCTGTTTTAGCTCCTAATTCTGAATACACTGTTCCTCTTTCAAGACAAAGCTCAACTGATAGTGGGAGTCGAGGCTTAGTACGCTCCCATTCTTCTCCAAATATTGCTCAGTTGGTAAATCAAGAAGAAAGTAGCGGACGGAAACTTCCTGCTTTTGATAGGAGTCTTAAACCGCCGTAATATATATATTTTGCTTTTTTTTATATATAAAATTAAGGGATGACGATTTTGCGATTTTATCATACAACTTTAAAACGTACAAAATTTCATTTCTTTTTATAGAAGAAAGAATAAACATGATAATGTTTTATTAAGTACTTATTGTTTCAGATGTTCTTTAAATGTCAGGTTACTCTACTCCCTTTCTTTTACTTTTTAAGTATCTAAGTAGAATTTTTTTTCTGTACTAAAATCTATTTGTATTAACAATAATTTTAACTTATATGTACTATGTTCTGTAAAATCCAATTTAATTACGCATGCAAATACTAAAAAATATTATTAGTGCCTGTATTTTTTCTAAACTTGAAAAATGACTGTGGAATAAAGGGACCATCACCTGAACTGATGCCTATTTTGAGGACCTTCAGAAACTGTACTCTTATGAAAGCTTAAGAAAATTGGAAAAATGCTGTACAAAATATATCGAGCTAAAAGGAGATTTTGGTGTAAAATAAAATAAAAGTGAACCCAAAATTATTTGTTTTTTTATCTTTTTCCAAAAACGGCATTTTATACAGTCAAGAAAAATAAAGAATTAATTAAAGCAAAATAAAATATTAAAAGCCAAAATAAAAAAGATAAATTAATGCAATACAAATTCTTAAAGTTTATAAAAACTGTTCATTATAGAAAGTAGCTACTTAATGTGATATAAATGCATTGAAAGCTGTGTTCACTGTATAGTTATTGTACATTGTAATTATAGCACATTCAACTTTATTTAAATTCCTCTTTAATAATTAGTTATAGTACTTAAAAAATTAAATTTCAATGCAAGTATTAATTTTATATTGCAAACCTATTTAAAAAAATCCTATATTAACTTATTTGTAATTCAAAAAATTGTCATCCCTCAAATTATAATTTTGTTGTTGAAATTTAATTTTATCACATTCTAAGTATTTTAATATCACTATTTTAGACCAATTTCCCCTTACTCGTCAGATTTAAGCAGAGCTAGGTTAAGAAACTTGAATCCTGTCTATGGAAATTGTCCAGTAAGTTTTATTTTGTCTTTAAACTTCTACTATATATGTGTTTTTTTCTCTTTTGTCATAGTTATATTGTTAATAGTAGAATAGGAATAATTTAAATTAATCACATTTCAAAATAAAAAGAGCTTGGGGCAGTATGGTAATAAACTACACTCTTTGAAGATGGCAATTTTACAATTTTCTGTAATTTCCATTTGATGACATTACAATAAACAAAAACGTGTTACAAAATAAACTTGATAGCCCGATGCCTGATCATCTGACAAATTCTAAAAACCTTTTTTTATGCATACAGTCACACGTTTCCCTGATTCAGTGGTGATTGTATTCTGGCTGTATCTCGGAATTCTGGTGGGTTTTTTATTATCCTTCCTGGTTCAAAAATTCAGAACAAGGCATATGATTTTTCTAGGAATATCGGGAAATTCCGCTTTTGTCAAGATTCTGGGACAAGACTAGGTTCTTGGACTTTCGCTAATCAAAAAGTTATCCGACAAAATTTTCCCGGGATTTCTCAATCTAATATTCAAAGTTTTGCTGATTCCCGCTACCAAGACGCTTACATACATATGATTCCTCTGGAAATGGAAAGAAATCCACCAATTGATTATTTTGGTTTGGCGGATTTTCACCATTTTGAATTTTTGAAATTGCACTGGAATCCGCTAATATCGCGATTCTGGTTTGAATTTCAAACATCGATTTTCGTATTTATCTAATTTAAATTATATGTTACGGTTTGTTTTCATATGGTTTAAAAATCCAACATCGCAATTCTTGTAACTAAGATTTTTCTTAAATTAATTAAGATAAAGGTGTGATATTTATCATTGATGGAAAATTTAGTTTTAAATATTAAAAAAAATTATGTTCAATACGAAACATGTTTGGTATACAAATTGATATCGATTTTTTGCACATAAGATTGGCAGGGTTTTTCACTTCGTGTCACATTATTCACTCCTGCTGATTACTGTTGTACTGATTAATCGGAAATTTGGCTTCTAGAAAGCGACAATAGCCCCAATTTATATTGATCAATTTTAATTTAACCACGGTTTCCTCGATTTAACCACGTATGTCTGTTCCAGAGAGTGTCAGATAATTGGGATTCTTCTGTAGCTACAAGGTCATCATCCTTTTTTCCTTAAAAATCATTTTTAAAAAGCCTCCTTAACAATTATCATTGTATTGCCTCAAACCATCATGTGTGTAAATATTTTCAAATGAAATGTACTTAATCGTTGTATCTAACTCAAAATATTCATATTTCCCTTTTTTTAGGCTACTGGCTTGCGAAATTTAGGCAATACTTGTTTCATGAATTCTGTCATTCAGTGTTTGGCAAATACTCTTCCTCTTGTAGACTACTTTATATCAAATCAGTATCTTGATGATATTGTTAAGTTAGTATATTCCTAATTTTTTATTCCATTTAATTTAATGACTTAATTTGTTTTACATAATAACATGCTAGTAAATTTACAAAGAGTGATATTATTAAATCTTGCTTACAGAAATTTTCTTATTAATGCTTTAACATAATGGTAAATTTTTTGACAACAAATTTTAAAATACTTTTACAAACTAATTTTTTCTTATTATTTCATTTATTAATTCATAGCATAAAAAATATCATTCATTTTCTATATTTGTTTAAACTAAAATTAAAGTATTAATGTTGTTAAAAATTGTAATTTATATTTTTATGTTTGATCTAAAAAAAATATTTTATTTTTTTCTGTAGAGACAGCAGGCAAAGCATGAGCGGAGAAGTCGCAGAAGAATTTGCAATAGTGTTGAAAAGTCTGTGGATGGGACAGTATAAATCTTTTTCTCCCAAAGATTTTAAAGTAACTAAATTCTAAAAGATGTTTATCTCTATTTCTTCCAGGAAAACACCTTTACGAAATGTTAATGTTTAAAATATAAAGTTTTTGCATTATGTAAGAAAAAAAAAGATTTCAAACCGATTCCTAAAATTTTTGTTTAAAAAACAAAATTTTTCAAAATATTATTTAACGTTTAGTAAAGTCAAAATATCATTAATATTAGTATATTAATTCTAGAATTTAGTTCACTCTTTTTACTGAATTTAAAATTATTAATATCATATTGATTAACTGCCTATGTAATTAATAATTTAATGCAATATGTTTGGTGATTTAATTTTGTTTTCTCAATTTTTGTTTTGAATCGGGTAGGAAAGTGATGTTTGTAGAGAAACAAAAAAAATTTTTATTATTATTTAATTTTTCAGCTTAAAATTTTATGGGTAGGAGCAAACCATTTTATCTCCATGATTTTTACGCTTGAAAGAAAATTTTTTGTACATATTTACTCAACACTTTGTTTTATTCTGAATGATGTTTGTGTTACATAATAGGAAAAAAAAGTTCACTTTGGCTAGATACAGTTTAGTGTCTCATATTAGTCACTCAATGTTGCAGATACTAAAATGCTACTGAACTAAAAATTTGTTTCATCTACTAAATTAAAAAGCTTAACACCTTAATAACTTTTCATCTATTGACCGGATAGTCACGTACTAGTATGCAATGTCACTTACCAGTATTTTCACTTAAAATCATCTTTGAATAAATGAGCTTTTTATCTATGTGCAATTTCACTTTATTATTCTGTCAAATAGTTCCAGCAAAGTCATGAATTACTCAGAGAAGAGAATTAAGATTCAGGGACCCCTTCCCTTCAGGCAAAAAAAGAGATTATACTTTCTCCTACAGAGAATTGCAGGGGAGCTATCCCCTCTGCAGAGGATCAAAATTGCGATGGCATGTCTTCGGATCATCCTCAAGGATGTTTCCCATACCCATGCCAATAACCCAATGTGCAGATCTAGTTCATCGTTTATAAAGTACCTACCTACAGAGAATCATGTGAATGCAATTTGTTTATTTATACATTATTATAAGTAACAAAAGAATATTTTGGAATACTTTTTGTTTCAACATAATGTGCTTCATAAAACTTAGTTACTAGTTAAAAACTTTGATGTTGTAACTTTAGTTTAATTTCTTTCCATAGTTTTGGTTTGTTCTATGTTCAAATTTTAAAACTCCTTCCTGACTTAAAATTTGAATTTTGGTAACAAAGTTTGATAAAGCATATTTTACAGGAGAGGAAGAAAAAAAAAAGAATATTCAAAATTATTTACTAGTTATTTAATGAGCAAGAAAAGTCTGTTCATATAAAACTCTATTGGTTAATATATGTAAAGTAGAGTTTTTCTGTACTAATCCAAACTTTTGGTCTTTCTTTTGCCTTAAATATTGGGACTATATTTTCTAGTAAATAACTACTACTCACATTTTGAGGGTCAAGAATCCATTTAAAAGGTAATTTTGTCCAGAAAAGTATATTTTTGTGTATTATTTCACAATATTGTCTGCACCAATTAAGTAGTATATTTGAAGTTAGCCTCTTAAACCATTGAGACAACTTTCTAGAGCATGAAAATTCAATCTTTGAATCATAAGTTAGTAAAGTGTTTGGTTCTGTGCATTTTTAATAATTATGTTACTGTGATTAAATACAATTATGCTGTAATTTTACATCTGAGTTACTTGGATGTTAGTTGGTAACTACATCATTGAATCTTAAGTTTTTTCTAAAATTAAATGTGAAAAACACTTTTTTGTGTTTAAATTTGTAAAAAAAGAAAAAGTTCATTTTGCTATCTTTTATTTCATTTCCCATATCATTAGGTGTTTGCATATTGACTACTCTATGTGAAACATTTATTAAATAACCTTTTTTTTATTTATTTGCAGAATACTGTTAGTAAATGCCTCTCTGTATGTATTGGAAATGAACAGCAGGATTCCCATGAATTCTTTGTTGTATTAATGGAAAAGCTCCATGCTGATTTAAATAGAGTAAGTTGGTAGCTTTTTTCCTCTTATTTTTTAAAAGTTAGCTGTCTAGTTTTCTTTTCTCTTATGGTAGTCATCAATCATTTCTTGATTAGATTATATTAAATATATTTCTTCATTGACAATAAAAGTTTTTTTTTATTTTATTGTAACTATTGCATGACTATTTTTATAATTTAAGTTGTCATTTCATTTTCATTAGTGTTGCAAGTTTGTCGTTGCGCAAATTTCAGCAATGATTTCTGACAAATATTAATGTATTTTTTCAAGTTTTTTTTTTTCAGAAACTGTTAAAAAATTTAGTGAAGTATGAGTTTTTTTAAATTGAACGCTTACATTTTAATGACAACTTGACAGTACTTTTCTAAAGCTATCTTTTTTATATGTTTTTACTTTATTGGTCTTTAAGTGCATTTATTGATTTATTTTTTCTGTATCAGTTTTCTCCCAAAATTTCTTTTGAATTTGGGTCTTGACAAACTTGTAACCCTAAGTATTATTATAAAACTATGGCATCTGATATTTTTTTTAAAAAAATGATCATATAATTATTAATATGAGACATTTAGAGTAAAAACATTTAAATTTTTTCATATTTTTAAAACAAATATATATAAATTGAAATTATTAGGGCATCCCTAAAAGATTTTTTTCCCAATTTTTTTAGATCTGCATATTTTTAATGATATTTATGTTTGTATCATTTTAAATTCTAAACATTTACCCCTTTTCCTATTGAGTCATTAAACCAACTGATACATTTTCATTCTTGCTGTGATAATTTTTTGTGTGCCCACCATGTCATACCAACTGCATGCCATGTCCAGCTAAAACACCTCCTGGGAGAGGTTCTTTCAAATTAGGAGCTGGTAGTCATCACTAGGTCTTAAATCCAGACTATAGAATGCGTGTGTAATGTTACATTGAAAATATTACAGAAGATTGGTAAGCAACAAATGTAAAAGGCTGCTTCTCCTTTTACTTAGCATTCTTCTAATACAGTTTTAATTTCATCTCATAGGCTTATCAGTACTTACTATTTCGTTGCACCTATTGTAGTTACGAGAATAAAATTCTGTATACTCTGTTATTATTTGATTCTCATCCAAAGGCAAAATTTCAACACTTTCTCAAAGACAATGGCAGAGAGCTGGTATGATATAGGTTTACCAAACTGCTTCATCTACAAAATTGCATAAACCAATTTAGCAATTATATAAAAATAGGCAAATGTTCAACTCTTAAAATGATGTAAATATTAAATAAAATAAATGTTTGTTTTTTGTATTTCTTATTTGTTTTATTTAATCCAACCCCTATTTTTAGGGCTACCTTTGTGTTTCAAATAAGAATAAAAAGTTATAACTATTTTTGTTTGTTTGCTTTATAGAGAACAGTAAAGAATATACCAAAATTAGATCCTAGTCATGATGAAGGTGCATTTTGGCAACATCATAAGAGCTATAACGACTCTAAAGTATCTGAAAGCTTTGAAGGCCTTTTGAAATCTACACTCAGATGCTTAACCTGTCAGAAAACATCAGATAGCTTTGAAGTCTTCTCTTGCCTTTCTCTTCCAATATTAAACTCCAGGTGTTCATTAAGAGTAAGAACATTCATTCGTGTTTAAATTTTTTGAATTTAACATTAGAAAGACAGAAATGCAGGTCTTTTTGTTGTTCAGTAATTCTAAAAGTTATTCACCTGAAGTGTTGCAATTGTATGGCTTTTCGTCGTATGATTTTATTGAATACTTATTTAATCCTATAAATTTTAACCTAATAGGAACATAAATATTGAAAGTCTGGTATGACAACAAGGGCCAGAGGGGCCCTGAGGTATTTTGCAATACTAATTTTCAAGTAGAAGAGAATTTTCAGCAATGATAGAAATTTATTACGAGTGTGCCTTACATTTTCTATTTCAGATCTAAAAAAAAATCTTATTTTTTATTTTATTTGAAAAATGCAGTTTCTAAAACGTCTATTTTATTACTTTCCTTTAAGTTTTTTGTTTGTTAGTTTACATTTGTCTAAATTTGAATTGACAACTGTTCAATAATCTGCTTATATTAACCAAGAAATGGTTGAAACTTTTATTTTTACCCGGCATAGAACTGTCACAGCTTAAAGTGCGTAATTATGAAAGCAGATGATGCTTAAAATGTGCCTTTACGAAAATTACTACCATTATATTAAATTTATAGCACCTGTGGCAACCTTTTAAAAAACAACTGTTGACTTTTAATATCTTTTTTTATAATTAAAAAAAGACCAATTTAATCAAATGTACCACACGTGACTTAAGCAAACGAACAACATTACATTACAAATTTATTTGGATTCCTTATATAATACTCCTTGAATACTCCTTCCTTGAATAATATTCATAAAATAAGTTTAAAAAAATGGCAAAAGATTCTGCATCTATTTTCTTAAATGCGCATTTTGAGCTGCATCCATTTTGAGCCGTGTCCAAATTTAAAAATCTGGTTAATGAATCTTGCTCAATAATTTAACTTCAAATATACTAGCTAGTGTAAAAATGATCTGAGTTTTAAATTCTGCATGTAGCAGTCTGGAAACAAATGAAACTAGCAAATTTTATAAGAATTTGAGTGCCAATTAAAAGACTCAAAATTTTAATTGAAATCCAGATACATAAGCAAGTTAAGTAAAAACGACAATATACTGCTGGCTATCTACTCGAAACACTAATCATTAGGCAGAGTTACCAATTAAAGTGGAATTTATTGCACACTCATTCTTATTAATATAATTATAATAAATTAAAGTTTTTGAACTTCTTTTGTAATTTACTTGTGTATATTTGAAAATACATATGTATTAAAGCTTATTATAGTACATTTTTTATTAGGATTGTTTTAAACATTTTCTTAAATCTGAAAAAATATCTGGGGAGGCTGCATGGGAATGCCCTAGATGCAAACAAAAGAAAGAAGCTGAAAAAAGACTGCAAATTTGTCGACTGCCTGAGATTTTAGCCATACAATTAAAAAGGTATTTTGATTGCTTATGCTTTTTAACATTCTTAATGCATTGAAACTTTATTTTCATTATCTTACTGTATTTCCCATATTAATAATGTAATTAAGATTCTAAGTTTGCAGTGACACTTGCAAGGAGGTAATACTTTCTACAGGGTTGAAGTATTACCTCAAAGAAAAAATTTCCCTGTACATATTATACACAATATATTAAGAGGAAATACACAATCGCTGTGCTCCTGTGTAAGCTATATTGGTCTAACTATGCTAGTTTTAATTGTAGGAAAAACTTTGAAAAAAAAGGAAGAGCTGAACATAGAATTTAAAACAAATTTTGCTATATGTAAATGAAATAGTTTAGTATAGCTGAAATATTATCCTTAAATATCCAATAGATTGCCCTTTGAGTGGTCATCATTTTTTAAAAGATAAAATAAGGAAAAATTTCCCTGTATTTATCTAGTTTGTAAAGAGAAATTAAAAATTCCATGTTATTGTAGGTGATTTTTTAAATTTCTGTTATTTTCCAGGCTTTTCCTGTAGAGTGGCAACTTTGTTTGTTTATATCAAAATATTTGTTTTTCATCACCACGATAAATAATTTTTAGTACTTTTTATCACTTTATATATGTGAATAGAATGGCTGCTTTAACTCAGATGAATTTTTCCCCTTTAAGTTGAATATGATTTTCACTTTGCCTCATTTCTGATTTTAAATTTTTATCCTAATTAATTTATTTTAAAATGAATCAATTTTCAGAAAGTTTTATTTTTTTTAAATAGATTTTCTTATGAAGGTCTCTGGCGAAGAAAGCTGCAAACACATGTAGACTTTGATATTTCATTTGAGGTGCCTTATGAGAGGAATGGAGAAGAACACTATCAAAAATATACATTATATGGCATTGTGGTAAGTTTTATTACTAGTGTGGTGTTATTATTATATAGCTATTATTTTATGACATATCTACAATATAACTTCTTTCTATTTTAGAATCATTATGGAACTTTGGAAGGTGGCCATTGTAAGTACATTTTTTTAATGTTAAACTTATATTTGAAAAGCTCTTTGATTAAATTTACTATACATTTAAGATTTATTAACTTATCTGCTGTTATTAAGTCAAAGTTTTAAAAAATCTTTTTAAATGTATAAAAATACAAGACATTTTAACGTCATGATTCCACTAAATTATTCTTGTAATTTTCAACTACTAAATATTTGAATATTATAAGTTGTGTTATAAATACATAAACTTATCATTGCCCTGAAAGTTTTTACACTTCATGTTTTAAAACAGTGGTTTTAAAAGCCCATTTTAATAATTTAAAATGCATATAACTATATTACTTATAAAAAAAAAAACTTCCTTGGCTGCAAAAATGTGCAAATGGAAAATAAAAGGCATCCATTCTTAAGACTTGCCAGGCATTAACGATGTAGTTAGGAATATCTGCTTTTAAATATGTATTAGTTTTACTTTGGCATATTATATCAATATAGAAATCAAAAGCAATCAGACAATAAAATTTTTGTTAGTTGAGATTCATTGATTTATTTACTCCCCTAATAGGAAAATGCTACTTATAATGTATAAATCATATCTTTTTTATTTTCTTCTCACAGACATAGCTTTTTGCAATGCTCAAACTAACAAATGGTTCAGATATGATGATCATGAGGTTTCTGAAATCAGTTCCTCAGACATTAAGGTAATGTATTTCATTTATTTTTATAAGAATTAGTTTAATTAAATAGAAATATTATTTAAATAAATCATTTAAATAAGTATTCTTTTCACAGACCTAATTGTTCATTGCCAATTTATTTTTCTTACAAGAATAGTCTGTATATTACTATTAATTCTAAAATGCTCTTTGTGTCTTATTTTGGATGTGTATTGGACTACTTTAACTTTCAAATTGAATGATCTAATTATTCAAAATGACTAGTTAGCCCATAATGATTTTTTTTATATTTAGTCGTTGTAATCTGAAGAATTAATTTTTATTAATTGATAATTTTTCACTGTGATAATGTTAATAGTTATTAAATCAAGAATCAAATTAAATTTTATACAATTATAGAAAAATAGATAGAATAAATAAAATTATATCAAGTATTAAATGCATAAATCTAGTTCATTTAACTTTCCAGTGTTTCAGCGAAACTGAAATAAATCACTTTTATGCATTGTGACAGCATACGGTTTTTGTAAAACAATTAAAATGATTCTTGATCCAAATTAAGCTACACGAAAAGAAAAAGCATAATATATTCTAAAAAATTAGTTTTAAAATCAATTAAACAACAGAGCCGTTCCTAGTCGATAGCGATACGTTTTTTTGCAGCAACAAGAACAAAACTATAAAAGAGTTACAAAGGATGTTCTGTTGTAACTGGCCTACATATATATTAATAGAATTCTTGAAAAATGTTAATTCACTCAGAAAAATGCAGGAATGAAACACCTAAACCAATTTTATTGGTCGTTTAAACTAGGAAAGATATATAATAACCTTTCAACAGAATTTTCTGAAGAGCAAACAGGTTTCCAGTTACGCCTTCTTAGTCATGATTAATTTTCAATTGAAAATTCTAAAAGTACACTTATTAAGGGTGGCCATTATGAAACATATACTTGTAAAGTAAGTGATAAAAAGAAAGTTATAGATTTTATAGTTCCAATTATGATATATAAAAAGAAAAATATTTTTATGCTTGTCAAATTTTGTTTAGCTATTAAAACCCCTTTTTATATGTAATATTTTTTGTCTTTTTCAGACTTCAGCAGCTTACATGTTGTTTTATCAAGCAACTGAAGTACGTTCCAATTTATAGCACTGTATTATTAGGATTCCTAATGATAAAAACTATATCATGGTTTAAAGCAAAAATCCAGTTTTAGATCCTTTTATACAATTTTGTTTTTTACAAAATGGTTAGATTTCATATTTTATGATGTTTACTTCATAGAGAAAAAATGTTGCGTTATTGCACTAGGGTATTCATAACTTTGTAGACCAGTATATACTTTTTATTGAAGTATATCATAATTTAGTTTCACTAAAATATCTTTTATGATTCTGAAACATTAAGCTGCAATTAATGGTTGCAAATTTTAATATTTATTTTAGCATTACATATAGTTAGCTTGCACTCAAAAGCTGTTTGTTGCAAATTGTTACATGTCTGCATACAAATTACTAACCTTCGTACATAGCTACTTTTAATTTTTATGTATTTTATTCCGATTTTTAATATCATTGCAATTGAATTTTATTAATCCAAGTACTAGTAAAAACTAATGCAAAATTTTCAGTTTCAAATGAGGAATATATTAAAATTTTAGCTGCTTATAACTGATTTTTTTATGATAACTATTAGAATAATTAATGCCTTCAAATATTATTGCTCTTGAATATTAAAATATTCTGTATAGCTTGATATTGTAAGAAGTATTATTTATAAATGTTATCCGTCCAGAAATTTGATTTATCATTTGTTTTGTTTATATTAAATACTTTTAACAGAAAATTTGCTTGAAAATAATTTTCATTATTTAATTACATAGGGGAAAAATACTATGTGTGTAAACATGTATATTATTTGTATAGAGATAAATTTATAAATATTTTGTAGATAACTAAAGTAATTTTTATTTATATAAAAAAATAAATGTGTGTAAAATTTCTTTTATATTTGGAGATCCTTTGTACATTCCATGTACATATGTTTCATAAAAATATGTTGAATAAATACTTAAGTCTAAAACTATAGTTATTTATTTCTCAAAAAATGATCACTTGTCTGACTCTTATACTAAGATTCTAAAAAACACTTTATATGTTTAAAAAAAAAAGATCAAATTTAAACAGGGTTTGATTCTAGGGCGGGGGGGGGGGGGNCTGGGGGGGGGGGGGATTAAGGATGGATGTGGAAAAATTTATGAACAATTAGCAAAGAACTGAAAAGTAGGACATGCAAATTCTGAAAACAAATACTTTGATTTTAGATATCTGCCCATAAATTAAAATATGAATTTGTTTTTTTCTTATTTTGAATTCTAAACTAGAAATGAATACTTAACTAGTCTTCTAAACATTTTTGATTAAACTGTTTTAATAAACACACAAACAGCTATTTTACAACAAAGTTTCTTAAAAAAAAAAAAATTAGTATTTTATGTAACAGGCATGTAATTTGGATCTAAATAATTATAATCATTGTCCATAAAATTTGAATAACTACTTTCCTGAATCACAGAATCTGCATTTGGCAACTCTTCAAGTCTGTGATCACTGGAATGGTTTCCAACTTCGTGTTTGCTGTAAAAAAAAAAAAGTTGGCACTAATTAGATATCAAAGTATTCTGGATCTTAATAAGAAAAGTAACTCCTTAAGTTATCAAATATGTTAAGAATAAAAATTAAGAAAAGAATACAAAATTTTAAAAATAATACTTCCAATGGAAAAACACACAAAGCAGCAGTGAATCCAAAAGGAATTGGAACAATGAAATATGAAAAAAAATGGATAAATATGACAACCGAAGCTGACGTCTTCAGGGGATACTAGTTCCGGAAGTCATAAAAGTAAAACCTTTTCTATCGAGAGAGCACGACAAAAGTCTGAAATTGCTCTTTCTGTACCTCAAAGGTTTTGCCAAAGTCCAGGAAAAGAATATAATACATAACATAAAAACGAGACAAGTACATAAGAATAGTACATACAAAAGCGTGCTTGAAGCATAAGTCCATGCTTTGTGTATTTTATATTATGTATTATATTCTTTTCCTGGACTTTGGCAAAACCTTTGGGGTACAGAGAGAGCAATTTTAGACTTTTGTCATGCTCTCTCGATAGAAAAGGTTTTGCTTTTATGACTTCCGGAGCTGGTACCCCCTGAAGGGTCAGCTTCGGTTGTCATATTTATCCTTTTTTTTTTTTCTTCATAGTTTCTCATAAGAATAAAAAGTTCTTGCATAACTTTGAAGTTTACTATGATATAAATAAATATCTGTGAAACAATTTTATTTGAAACTCTAATATAAATAACAGTTTTTAATGAAAGTAATGCACTGGTAAATGTAATGCACAAAATTTTTACAATTTACATTAAAATTAGTGTAAAATGACCTGAAAGCAAAGAAAAATACATATATTAAGGTTCACATTCGTTGTTTCAACTGTAGCAAAAGAGCAATATTAAACTATTTTATGGAATCAATACTTTTTTATGTGTGAAACTTATAATTTTTGAACTTCAGCTTACATATAAATGCATCTCTATTTATATTATATTTATATGCCTTGCTAACAAAAGCAAATATCCACCCGTCAATTAGTATTATAGTTACTTTAATATGAATGAATAAAACATCGAAGTATAATAAATCTCTATTGCTTATTAATAAATTATAATTAATGTATTTATTTCCTGTTAACTCTATAGCAAAGTCCTCATTCAAAAATATGTATTGATAAAAACAATGTACAGTGAGCAAATGATCCAATAATAACTTTGGATCAGGAGGTGATCGCAAATCAATTTGTACAAATAATTACAAAATCATATTTTGTCTGTATAAACATACCTATTTTAGACTTCTTACCCTCAAAATATATGAGGTAGCCACAATATGGGAAATATGGTCCTAATATTTTGGTCAGGTGAGTTGTCCATAGTTTGAACCCCTTAATGTTAATTTTACTTTTTGCATATTTCGCTATATCTCAAAAAATACTTAAGATATTTAAAAAAAATTTGCACAGAATTATAAAATTCATTTATCCAAAGATTCAAACAATTCAAAAAAAATAATTTATAATCATAATTTACTATTTTCTATTGTTTTAATTATAATTGAATTGTATGGTATGCAATATTTTATTTCATTTTAAAGAATGTAATTTTAAATAGCAAAATTTAAGTGAAATGGGTAAAATAGTTCCTGAGAAATTGAATTTTAAAAATATGACTTTTTTAAAATTTGATTTCTCAGAAACTATTCATCCAATTTCGTTCAAATTGCATTCTTTAAAAAATGTAAAAAACTGCATAACTTACAATAATTTTTTTTTATCTATTATAAAATAAAATAATAAATAATTATTAAAAATTATTTTTTAGATAATCTTTCGATAAACTAATTTTATCATTATGTGCAAAAACTTTTTGCTTACTTAATTTAAATTTCTTGAAATATAGAGAAATAGGCTAAAAAATAAAATTCACATTAAGGGTTCCAAACTTTAGACTGTTCTCCTGACCAAGCTATTAGGACCATATTTCTCAGATTGCTGCTACTCCCTATATATTAAGGATAAGGAATTCAAATTCAGCAAAAGTATTTCGTAATTTAAAATATTATTTGCATTAATTAATTCATTATGCTTGATAAATGATTATAAATTATTTAGCATGCATATTTACATTAAATGTTCTATTCTTAAATACCTTTCCATGCAATCATCACAGAAATCCACTGCTTCAGGAGGCTTACAAACAGTACAATGCCAGCGGACTCCAATAATAGGATTTGCCTTACATAGAGCACACTAAATAATGAAAAGTATAAATCTTTATAAGATCATAATATTATTTTTCAATACAATTTTCAAACAAAAATATTAAACCAATTATATCATTAGCAACCATAATAACTAGGCAGGGGAGATTGTGGGCCCAACTCAAAAATCCTGAAAATTTCTTGAGTAAAATCATTCAAAAAATTTATATCTTTATAAATTGAAATCATTGAAATTTTCCAAACATGATATTCTAAATGAAATATATGCAGCATAATTTAAATTAATAATTATGAGTAAGTTTACTTTTATCTCTAATCACATTTATTATTCTACCAGAAAAAATATTTAAAGAGATGCCAAGTATAAATTCTATTTCTAATATTTTTAAATAAAATATACAAGAATTTTTATATATAAATGTGATCGATGATTTCACTTATGGACTTTGGATTTTCGGATTGCAACTAGCGAAAATTCCGGAAATTCGGATTTTTTCCGGAGCACAATCACCCCTGATCTAGGTCAACTATGTACTTTGAATCACTTACGACTTTGTAAAAATTAAGTGACTGAAAATCACAAATAAGGCACTGAAAGAATAGATATTTTGGAGTTAATAATGATTAATTAAAAAACAATAATTTTCTAAAATTTTGAATATTTTTTAATATAGCATAAGTATAATGCTTCCAGTGGCATATGCTATTCGCACCACCCTTGATCAAATGTGTGTAATAGAGGCAATCAGATCTATCATTTAAAAAGCTTAACTGAGTGTAGGTGCTTCTGCCAACTATAGTTAAAAATATGACTTTTTATATGGTATAGTAAGGTTGGGTTCCAATTGCAGATAATTACCAGAGTTGGCCAAAAATATAATCGATTACATTTTTTGATTACAGTAATCAATTACTTGTAATCATGATTACAATTTCCAAAAATTTTGATTACAGTTGTTATCATGATTACAATATTGATTACAGTAATCAATTACTTGTAATCGTGATTACAAAGTTTGATTACAGCTGTAATCATGATTACATAGTTGATTACAGTAATCAATTACTTGTAATCATGATCACAACTTTAAAAAAAATTTTGATTACAGCTGTAATCATGATTACAATTTTGATTACAGTAATCAATTACTTGTAATCATGATTACAAGTAATTGCGATT